AATAATAATAATAATAATAATAATAATAATAATAATAATCCTCTCTGTTTTGGGAAAATGTTGTTTTTTCTTGCTGCTGCTTTCTTGGCCTTACAGCGCCACCCGGTGGGCAGATGAAGCCACAATTCTTCCCGCTTCAGCCCTAAAAGCTGCCTGACAAACCCAGAGGACTTCGTGGAAGTTTTTTTTTTATTGTTGTTTGTTTTTTTATTTTTTTCATCACTTAAAGACAAAACAGGTGAGTTAACACGTTTTATTTCTGCAGGTGTTTAATAATTATGGGGTTCAGATTGTTTAAGAGAACCTTTAAAAAAACCCTGTAAAATGTAACTTTTTTTCTGTTTATCCTAAGCTGTAACTGTAAAATATTTGGTGCTTTTAACAAAAACTCTGTATTTGTAAAATTTTTATCTTAGATTTATTATCATTCTTTGACTTGTTCAGGCGCTGAAACGCTGATTTATTTCTAATGTCTGCATCATCACATAATCATTTTTGACTGTATTGCTATATTTTATTCCACAGTAAGACTTTAAATGACTGCTTTTAAAAACAGTAAAACTATTTTACTGATTAACATTTATTTCACTGTGAAACAGGAGCTTCTGGACACCATCGCTTTTATAACAATGACTGTATTTACAGTGTCTCATAAACGCCTATGAGAAGCTCTGACACAGAGTTTCTGCTGAATCAAATTAGCTTCCGTTTCATCAGCTTGTGAACACACAAAGGTGTGAATACTTTTGTCACCATAGAGGTTTGGATTTCATGTGATGACGGAGGAACACAAAGATCTGAATATGGTAAAGTGAAAAGTAGATGATATTTGTAAAACGGTGAAGGATTCCTTCGGCCCAGTCACGACTTTCCGCTTCGTTTCCGCGACTAGAACCTAAAAAATATTCACATTTTCTATCTGTGAAACATAAGTGTTCAAGTCTCGCCACAGATTCTCATGTAAATGTAGGTCTGGGCTTTGACTTGGCCATCCTGACGCGGGATTCTAAACTTGGAAACCTGTAACAGGTTTTCCTGTGATTGGCTCAATGCATCTTCCCAGGTTCCTTGTTTCTGCTGGGGGGGAAAAAAGACAATCTTCACTTGATGCTGCCACCACCATACTTGACTATAATGGTGTGAATTTTTGTTCACTTTCTTTCCAACAGAAAGGAAGTTGAAAAAAAAATGTTTTAGAAAAAAAAATATAGCAAAATCTAGACTTATTTCATGTGACTGAGGTCAAACTGTTGTGTTCACAGCCAAACAGACTTTAAAAAGAAACTGGAAGAAGAGTTAAAAGGAAATAAACAATATAAAAAAACTAAGAAAGAAGTGGCAACAATTTACCCAGAAGTTAATATAAACAAACCTCTATTGGAGCAGTTAGTCCAGTTAGCAGTTGGACTAACTGCTAATGAGCAGAGAGTTGAGTGGACAAAACATTTAGAAAACCAGGCGTTGGAAGTTGGTGCTGCTTTGCATCAATCGGCCACATGATGTGACAAAAGAGGCAAAAGTTAAAGTTTCAAACACAAAATTCAAGTTCAAAAATACTTTATTGATCCCAAAGGGAAATGGAAAGTTGTAATTCAGATTCTTGATTTATTGAAGACGGCAAGGGGTGTTGGCAGGAAAGGTCTCTTGTAGTGGTCTGTATTGCAGCGAATCTGAATGAAGCCTCTGACTGAAGACGCTCTGTTTTCTCAAGACGGTCTCATAACAAGGATGGTCAGGTTTTTGTATTTTGAGTAAAAAGTGTGCAGAGTGTGCGGTCCATTTTGTTGACTTTCCCAAACCTGGATCGGGGAAATTGACCTCCGGGTCGGAGCCAACATTTCCAAAGACCCGGAACGCTTCGAGGGATGAGTCACTGAGCCTGGAGAGGAGCAGAAAGTTCTGAGCAGAACCTGCTCTGTGAATATTTGATCTGCTTTCCGCAGACGGATCGATGGGGACGGGGCAGGGGACGAGCGGAGGTCCGACGGTGACATCTTCTCCTCGGCCGGACGCCAGCCGTCCCAGCAGGCAACAGTTGCCAAGGTGACAGCATGTCAGCTGGGCCCGCAGCGCCAGCGGTGGGGGGGGGAGGTTGCGATGCATCACCGGCTCTGATGGGTTTGTCAATAGCGCTTAGATCCGAGGGGGCCAAGGCCCACCGTGACACACACCGAGAAACACACACCCACTGCTGCAATCTCCATCTGATCCACTGTATTGACCTGCGTTCGGTTCCTGCAGTACGGCGGCTACACGCTACAAGCTAACCCTCAACCTTGCACACTGCATCACAACACACACGCACACACACACATTTACTTTTCATAACTGAAGTCCTTTCTAGACGCAAACGTGAAACAACTCCTGACAATAAAACATGGCACATTAAACCTCCCTTTACTTTTCCATCTGTTTTTGGTTGAAGAGTAAAAAATTGGTTTCTGCCAGAAAGAAGTGATGAGAACACTTGAGATAAAAAAAAAAAAAAAGCCGATATGTCTGTCCAGCTGCAGCTGCTCATGAAGATGATGGAAATGTTTGACCACGTCTGAAGAAGCTAAAGCAACTCTGAGATGAATCTGGAGAGAATAATCTTCATATTCATGAGGCGCCACTTTCCTCTGATGAAACTGATTTTTTTTAAAAACCGGTGACGGTCATTTCAGTTTTACATTTTACCGGCCCACTGATGAGCTTTGCTCTTTGGTTTCTTGGAAGACATTTTGTTCACTTTTAACCTCAAGCGTAATTTAAAAGAACCTGGTGAAACATCTGTAGATGTAGTCTCAGATTGTATAGTTTTTTAGTCCCATGTGACATAATGGAATCTTTAATGGGATTCTAATAGACTTTAGGTTTAAGTAACATTTAATCACTTTATAACCTCTGGATGATTCTATCTATCCTACTTGTTTGGCCCCATGCGTACACAATGGATGTAAATTGACGTAGATGTGGGCCCCATATACATTCTCCCAGGCTGGACGGGTCCTAACTGGGCCAAGGCTCAGTTGAATTGATTGAGCCAATTCTAATCCAACTGGTCCCCCAAATGTCTCAAACTGGTGACTTTTAAACATGGAGAAATAAACAGACAGTAGTTTTACAAGTCAGAAAACGAAGGACAGTTGCTTATTGTTGTGACGCTAATTTCCATTAGCAACACAAAGTGATACTGCATACCTCTCAACATTAAGTGTGTTCAACACTTAATCTCGGTAGGGTTCAGTGGAACACATAGGAAATAATAATAGTGATAAATAGTTCATACTGGCATCATTCTTTACCGTTTCTAGATGTGTCCTTAGTTTGGGATAATTCCTGAGGCTGCTAGCCGACCTTTGACCTTCCCAGTCTAGATTCTCATTTAAGAAGAGTTTTGGTTTGTGTTTATTACTTGAGACTTAGAAAAACCCGAGGACCTTGAAAATGTGACTTTTAAGGGCCAAGATGTGAAATGTCTGGAATAGGACCCTCCAAAATGACTCGAAAATGATCCAGTGTTGGTCTCACCTGGGTTTCAGTTAAACAGGTAAAATATTATTAGCAGCAAGTCTGATAATGATCAAAGATAGTTGAGATTCTTTGGCCTTCACTTGTGTTCAACTGGAATAGAATCGACTCATCATTCTGGGTAAAAATACAGTAAAAATCCACTTTTAACAAATATTTTTATCTTTGCAGTAACTGCTCTGTAAAAAATAATAATAATAATAAAAACAACTAATGTAACTATAAATCCACACTGATGTGTTTAAAGAGTAAAGCTGGGTTGTTTTTGTAGCTCTGAGTTGTTCAGGAATAAAAACCGACGAGTTCAGCAAACAAGGAAAGAAGACGGAGAAAGCACGGCCGGGCCATCTCACTCTGTGTCTGATTAACCCAGAAGCAGCGGCCCGGCGTGGGCCCGGCTGGGCTCACAGGAGCTGGCGGGGTAACCATTGCTAGGCTGCAGGTTTAATACGTGACTGATGAACGGCTGCAGGGCTGCTGGGTTACACATTGGTTAGAGGAAAAGTCCTGAGTTTGTTTTGGATCAGGTCGGCGGCTGATCTTATCGTGAGTTCTGGTGGGTCCAACCAGCACCGACCGGAGGGATTCACAGCCCTCCAGGCTAGTCTCAACCAGAGTTGGGAAGTAACTCAATTACATCTACTTGAGTGACTTTTTTGGGGAAAAAAAGGAGTATTTTTACTTCACTGTTATTTTTGCTTTTACTTGAGTAGTTTTATTATGGCGTATCGCTGCTCTTACTGGAGTAAAATGTCTGGATTCTCTTCCCACTGAATTCAAAACAAACATGTTTTAACCAAACGTTCACCAGACACACACACAAATGCAGTTTTTGTTAAAGTTTTATTAAAAAAATTATTGAAAGAAACTGATTTTGAAAAATGTTCTTTTGCCTGATTGTTATATTTTGTTACTTATCTGAATTATTGACATTTTAGTCCTTAAAATACCAACATTTCCACTTAACTTTTTATTTTAGTCTGTCTGAAGATGTAATTTTTACATATTAAATGATTGGTAATTTGATCAGTTTTTCAGTACTTGAATAGACTTTTTACCAAATACTTTTTTACTCTTGAGTATATTCTGGGATGGATACTTTTTACCTTGAGTAAAAATATGTTGAAGTAGAGCTGCTGTTACTTGAGTATAATTTTTAGGTTCTCTACCAATCTCTGGTCACAACATGATGCTTTACTGCAGAAAGTCTCTTTAGGAACTGACTTCTTCATGTGCTTAAATATTAATTTATTTATTTTAATCTAGGTTGGCCAATAAATACATTTTATGCTTTTATAATAAAAAAGTAAAATAAAAACAGAACTTACTATTTTTCATCTTAACATAATAAATGAATGAAACAGTGCTCAATTTAGGACAACTGCGATGGATTTTTACGTAAATATTTCAGTGTGTGGAGCCAGAAATGAGATGATTTTTAGCAGACAGGGAAATTTGAACACCTCATATCAGACATGTAATTATCCCAGAGTTTTTGCTCACTTTAAAATCAAACACTAATCACTTTCAATACAGACGTGAAACTAGAAAGAAAGACAGGAAGGTAGACAGGAGGAGACTCCTTTTGTTGTCATCCAGCCTGAGTGAGAACCTTATTGTGTTTTCTGCACCACGCAGTTCCGCCGAATGACCTCTGACATCCCCACAACATGACACCGCCACCATCACGTTCCCCAGCATTTCGGGGTTGTCGCGGCGAATTCGGATCGGACTTCCTGTTTTTGATGCTTGCGACCGGAGCGGGAAAACGGCAGCATCAGCTGAACTCAGAGGCAGGCTCTCGCTCTCTGACACGGCTCCAGCCGCTTCCCACTTTAAGAGCTTTGCTTGGCGAAATAAAAGTAATTAATTGGTGTTATACACGAAGGACATAATTATCATTTCCAGCAACTGGCACATATTTAATTACCAGTAATTGTTCCCTGAGCTTTGCTGGGAGACAGTTCTGATATATTATCCCCTAATCCTGCACTTGATCCTCAGTCAGTTAGGGAGATGTGTGTGCGTGTGCGTGTGCGTGTGTGTGTGTGTATATGTCAAAGAGCAGCCGTGTAAACAGCACACATCGCTCTGCTGGCCCTCCTTGGGATGCAGAGCCCCCCCCCCTGCCCACAACCCCCATCCCTTCCTGAGGTGTTAATGCCTGCCAGATTTGGAGGAAAGTAATTTGAGATCATTTCGCAACAAAAAAAAAAGGGCCGCAGATACTGATTAACGCAGCCGCTAGTCTCAGTCCCACTTAAAAAAAAGGAGCTAAATTTACTCCCTAGTGCTTTAACAGAGGGTGGGGGTGGGGGGGGGCTTGAACATGAGAACAGGGTTTAATAAGTAAACAGGAGAAGCAGAGAACAGTGCTTGTGATCAGGGCTTATTTGGCCAGCTTAACCCCGGTACGCGCTACTAGCTGATTAGCCCTGCCGATTGTAGCTTGTAATTGCAGTGGCCTGACCCCCTCTAGGCAAATATTAGATTTTAGTGGTTTAACCTTTCCAGTCGTCAGAGCACACTAAATTGCCCGGCCAGATGTTAAAGAGCCCAGCGGTAGTCCCGCAGCCCTTCTTGATCAGCAGATTGGAGCTTTTTCTTTTTCTAATATTGTCTCCGTTTCCTCTGGCCTTTTTCAAGTTGATTTCGCGCAGCGGTTTCCCGTCCACCGATCCTTATCCCCTCCTTCTGATGATACGGCTTATTTCAGATCGGCCCAGTCACGCTTGTTACGAGTGGGAATGTGGTGGGGGGGGGGACACATGATCAATGAGGAGATCAATGGCAGATATTAACATGGCAATCAGCCCTTCGCTTCAATCGCTCCAGCAATTTGTCAGCTGGTGAAGTGCCTCGCGTCCACTGGAGGAGATCCTTCAGCCTCGTTGCGTGCACAGTCAAGCAGTCGAGTAATCTAGGCATAAATTTAAGTTCTGTTGAAGTTTTTAGACGTTTTCTTTCTCTTCATTAACAACCGGATCAAAGTTAAACAGTCCACAACAGAAGCCATGGACCTTCAGGAGGCTCAACACTGGAGAAGTCCTGTTCCATCAACTTTTATAGCCTTTTACCCTAATCGTTTGTTTTCATCCGTAACCCGAAGGTGGCAGTGCTTCTCCTCTCCATATTAGCTTACAGGAAGTGACATCATTCATGGATTAGGAAGGGGTTTACTACTGCGCAGGTCTGCACCCATACATCCATGTCACACTTCATGTCACAATTCAGCTTCATGTAAACAGTACATTGAAAAGATGTAGAAAAGAAAAATGTCACCTTCCACCAGAAGAACTGGTGTCCGTTTCTAGGTAACCTTAGCTTCAGTGGAAAGTTGAAGGTCTTTGTGGAGTTTATGCCGACCCCTCCATGTGGACCAGTGAAGACACAGAGGATACCAGACCAGGCATTGGCTGAAAGCCTGACTTCAACATGTTCAATCTGCTGCTTCCCAGGAGCTGATGGGGTTTTAGAGACATTACAACATGTTATGAATAGTAACCCGATCCTGGGATCAGTGATGAGGTATTCACAGTTTTCTGCTGGGCCCAGATACTATCATCACTTACTCGCTTCACTATATTGTTTCTTTTTAAGAACATCCTACTGTCTGGGAATCAGCTAACAACTCGCCAGTTGAGTCAGAATGTAGATTATGGCGTTAATTTCTTCTTCTGCTTCCTGATATCTTTGCACGGTGAAATCCTTACGATTGTTTTTAGCCTCCTTGTAGTCTAAAATGAGGAAATGTCAAGAAATCCTACTGGAACAGTGGAACTGGTTACATTTAATTATATCCACCAGAACTGATGTTTGAGCTTAGGAATGCTGGATTGCGTTTTGAGTATGTAGTCCAGGGTGTGAACACTGAAGCCACCATGTTCTCGCTGCTTTTTTAAAGCTTTCCCTCTTTGCCACACCGGCATCCTTATGAAACTTTCTGTGACGGATCAAATTTCTCCCCAAAGGCTTCAGATCCAGCATAGAAAAAAATATATATAAAAAAATCCCTCCAGCGTGTAAATGTTCCTCCACCGCAGAGAGCCACCCCACTGGGCCCGGTTCGGGTTCGGCCTCCTCAAACCAGTAGGTGTCCGTGCATTAAAATCCAAGACTGCCTGAGACACCGGCGGACGAGTGAGGAAAAACTACAAGCGAGCCGAATTCTGTGGCTTTCTGCGAAGCCCTTTAATTTACGATCTTATTTGTGGGACAGACCTCAGGCCGTGATTACAGCAGTCTTCCAGCCCAGTTCCCATGGGTGGTTCGTGCTTCACACATAGAGAGCTTTATGGGAAACGCACTGCGACAAAACAGGCCAAGGAGGTGAAGACTTTCGGAAGTTCGCGCGAGGTCATTCCTCCCCCATCATGTAGTCTGGAGGGTCTTCCTCCGCGACGCGCCGGCAGCTGCGTCTCCAGGCTCACCCTCTAATAGTAATAGTTTCCTTCCTTTCAGCCTCTCACCTGAAAAAAAAGAGTCGCACGAAGGGAAAAAAGAGAGAATAGTCATCTTTTCATCCCAGAGGTGGACTGAAAAGCCTCCAGTCTGAGCAGAAACTCAATCCTGCCTCCTGCCTCCGTCTGAGGGGACAGAAAGGAAGACGGGAGGAGTGGGGGGGACAGCCAAAGTGGTTCCATGTGAGACGTGTTGGGAGACGTCTGGGAAAGACAGGAATCAACACCAACATCTGACTTTATGCCAGTCTCTACAGTCCAGCGCTTTGCTTTGGATGGCCATGAAACTGGACAAAAAGGCCTTTTCATGAGCCACTTTTGTGTTTTATGCTATCTGACGAAGAGTCAAAAAGCAAGGAAACTCCAGTAAATGTGGAGGTTTTAGTAATTCCTCATTTGAAAAACAATGATCTGAACTCATGGCCAACACTCGCCTATCCCTGTTTTTTTTTTTCTTTGCCTTCATTCACCTCGTTGTGACTGTAACACGGCTTCTCAAATATTAGATTCTC